ACACAGATACACAGATGAATACAGACAACACACACGTGCACACACAGATGAATACAGACAACACACATGTGCACACGCACACACAGATACACACAGATGATTACAGACAACACACGCAACACACAGATGAATGCACACAACACACACGCACACATAGATATACAGACAACACACACATGCACACACAACACATACACACCACACACAGAGACATAAACACACATATGCACACACAATGCAGCAATGTTTCCCAAGGGAGGGAAAAATCCACAAAAGGGCTTTGGACACGTGAGAATAAGGAATGGTTGTCAGAACGGTTTGCTGCACAAGGGAACTGAGGAGGTGTCTTGGCTTTGCTTCAACGGTGCGAGCTGTGTCCTCAGCAGGGTACACTGTTCAAGTCCCACGCGCGCTTCTCTGTAAGGCGTGATTCTAAAGACACACACCCACTGGGAGTTCCCACTCTAAAAAAAGGAGCCTGACAACAGACATGAATACATGGAGCCCACCATCCAGGCAAAGAGGTCAGAAATGGGAGGACACGTCTCAACAAAAAGTACTTGAGAAAACGGAGTCGGTATTTTGGTGCGGGCTTGAAGTGTCAGCTGCTGAGGACTTCTCTAAAAACACACATAAAAACACCATCGACAGCTCAAGAGTCTTACGTCTAAAGCTGGCTTTGATAGTGGTCTGAGCTCAAAATTAAATATTTTCCGCCCCATTGCGGTATACAGCTCCAGCTGCCTGATGCAATTTGCTATCTGCTGATGGATTCTGCCGGGAGGTGCGAGCGCAGAAAGACGGCGTGCGGACCCAGCATGAGGAATGGAGCGGCCCTTTCCACCCCGTGCGTAATCCCTGGGATGTGGGCAGCTTCCGAGCTACTGAGGAAGAACCGCCTGGACAGTGAACACTATAATGCAACGGCGGAACCCCACACATCTGCACACACACGCACGCACATGCACGTGCACAGCCAGATACGCTTTCTCTTTTGAAACACAGCTTCCATTCCTTCAGGAAAACGCGACATTTTTACAGAGCATAGTGTCAAAAGCCAGTCATTAGGGTGATGACCTGAAAATGGGGCTGACCACGTGCCCCCTGCTGGGTACACACTGTGGTAATGAGGCCCCTCGATATGTGCAGATCCGAAAGAAGAGAAGAAGGAGCATCCTATTACTATGCGCACGTCTCCCCCTCTGAAGGAGGACTCGTGTCCCGATACCTGGACTGCTTTGCTGTGAGGCAGACAAAACTGCTGGAGCCCCAGAGGCAGCACAGACACAGACCCCAGTCCCCCACGCCCCGGGGGCCGCTGCGTCCACGCACCCCGCAGTCTGGGCCGCAGGTGCAGCCAGGAGGGGTTTGCTCTGTAGAGAATCACCCTCGAGCTCAGGCTCCTAGGTCACAGCACCGGGTGACAGACGGCTGGCTCCCGGCTGCCCTCCTGCCCCCACGACACCAGGAACACCTCCTCCTGTGTCTCCGGGTTAAGACAGGCAAGAATGAAAGTGGCCCCCCTCCACCCACCCGACGGGCACCAGGAGAGAAAAACCAGAGCCTCTACTTACTCATCTCCGGTCACAATGTAGCCTTCCTCATCCTGGGAAGGCCTGACCTCCAGCTGCAGGCCTTCACTGGGGCGTCCCTGGGCTCCGGCTCCAAGGCGGGCATCTTCCTGCGAGGGCCCTGGAACCCAGGTCTGGAACTCGCCAAAGCCGCCCGCCCTGGGCTCTGAGGGAGGTAGCCCCTCCAGCCGCTCCTTGGAGTAGGTCTGACTCCTCACGTCCTCCACCCCAGCGCTCTCCTCCTCCCAAGCCGGGGGCATCCTGGGCGTCTCTGATTTCTTCATCTCCGTTTTGAAGGGCTCCATAAGAAGGGGGGTGGCAGGAAAGAGTCGGGACCCAGGATCCTGCAGGTGGTCCCCGAGTTGGAGGCTCAAACGACTGACCTGGCAGAAAAGAGGCTCAGTGAGGTGACGTTCAGGAGGAGTCGGTGGGCAGCCCCTGGCAGGGGATGGAGTAGCGCTCTCATGGCCACATTCAGAATCCCATCAGGATGGGACATGTTCAACCAAGGGGAGGACGAGGGCCTCACACATCAGCATCACTCAGCCAAGCATGTCTCTGTCTCTGTCTCATACACATACAACTTCCTGAAGAATCTGATTTTATAAACTCAGTGTAGGTGTTTCCCATCTATTTTTTTTTATTTTTTTTTAAGATTTTATTTATTTATTTGAGAGAGAGAGAGAGAGAGCAAGAGAGAGCACGAGTGGGGAGGAGAGGGAGAAGCAGGCTCCCTGCTGAGCAAAGAGCCAGATGCGGGGCTTGATCCCAGGACCCTGGGATCCTGACCTAGGCCGAAGGCAGCAGCTTAACCAACTGAGCCACCCATGCGCCCCCCCATCTATATTTTTAAAAAGAGCCCATGTGGGGGGTGCTTGGGGGGCTCAGTTGGTTGAGCGCCCGACTCTTGATTTTGGCTCAGGCCATGATCTCAGGGTTGTGAGATCGAGCCCTGGGGCGGGCTCTGTCCTCAGCAGGGAGTCTGCTTGAGATTCTCTCCCTCCCCCTCTACCCCTCCCCCCTGCTTGTGCGTGCACTCTCTCATAAATAAAATCTTTAAAAACAAACAAAACAAAAACAAAAGCAATAACAGCCTATGTGGATTCTGAGACCCCCTTCCAGAAACAATGAGTGCCTGACGATAACCGTCCTACTTGCATTTACTGAGCTCTGACAGGGCCCGAGGGCTCTGTAGCAGACGCCCGACCTGAACGGACTCTCGGCGTCCTCACGACGCCCTGTGCGTCAGGAGCTCTCACCCTGCCCCCAGTCCCTCAGGGAAGTGGAGAGGCCAGGAGTGAGCAGACACGGGGACACGCACCTGCAGCCTCACAGCACCTAGGGGTCTGGGGTCCTCATAGCCAAGGCTTGCCCATCCTGACCCTGTCTCCTGGACAAGAGGGCCCTCAGAGCTACTTAATTGACATCTCGACAGATGAACATTATCTTACACACTCAGCACTGATTATCTGCCAGGCACTGTGCTCAGCGCTCTGCGCGCGCTCTCACTTAATTGCCACCTCAACCCGGGAGTGCAGTCCTAGTTTTATCTCTAGTCTGTAGGCTCTGGGGCTTACAGAGGTTAATAACGTGCCCGAGATCACTGACGGCAGATCCAGAATTTGAGTGCCATTCCCGCTGATGCCAGAGAGGCTGCCACTGGGCCACAGCGCCTCTGGAGACCCCAGCATTGCCTCCAAGGGAAGCCCCTGGTCCCTCCCCCTGCTTGCTGCTGGTGCCCAAGAAGGGGGGGCACGCCCAGGGCGCCTCCTACCGTGCAGGAGCAAGGGATTTCCCATTTCACCATGAAATTACATCTCCAATATTAGACTAGATGGCAAGACGAAGAGTGGATTTACTTCACGGTATCCAACACAAGATTTATAGGAAACTAAGGAAGGACTATAAAGGAAAATAATTATTCCCTTGTTGACTAGAAATTGTATGTGATTTTTCCTTGTGTGTTTTGAAATATTTAAAGAAAATGGTATCTTGATAAAAACATTTGCTCAAATTTGGATCCCGAGTGGTGATAGTACATGGCATTTCAGTTACCACGTACGGATGGAGCCCTGTCCTCAGGCTTTTAAAGGAAAGAGAATGGTGTTTTCACTTGAACTGTGCTCCATGAGAGGAGGAAACAAAAGATGTTAACAAATAAGAGCTCAGAAAATACAATACTCAGATGCCTTTTGGAAAAAATTGTTTGAGGGGCGCCTGGGTGGCTCAGTCGTTAAGCGTCTGCCTTCGGCTCAGGTCACGATCCCAGGGTCCTGGGATCGAGCCCCGCATCGGGCTCCCTGCTCCACGGGAAGCCTGCTTCTCCCTCTCACTCTCCCTCTGTGCTGTGTCTCTCTCAAATAAATAAATAAAATCTTAAAAAAAAAAAAAAGAAAAAATTGCTTGAAAATGTACCCCAAGTAACAGAGAAATGAATCAAAATTCAACTTGTTTAGGATGGAAAGGTGGGAGTATGAGAACCCTGGGGGTCTTCAGAGAACCCACGTGGGTTGGAGTGTGTGCCCCTGGAGACCCCACAGCCCTGGCTCTGGCTGTCGGCGTCCCTCCACTTTCTGAGACGTGTTCTTAGTGCCATGTCTCCCTCCCCATCTGAGACAGAGTACCCCCCCATTTCTGACGGGCAATTAAGAGAATTGTTAATGTTTTCTTTTGCTACTTGCTAACAGGCATTGAACCACAAGCCACTAAGATAATCCGGAAAGAGAAGTACTAACCAAAAAAACTTTTTTCCACTCCACAGAAAAAGGGTTTTGTAGAACCACATAATGCCACTGTCACTGCTTACGCACTGATTTTCTGCATCCTTAAGATCTGTACTAATGAGCAAAGGTCCTTAAACAGGAAAAGCCAGCAAACCAGTCCGTGAGGCGTGTTACCTGTGACGGAGCCCTTTTCCACACTGCCTTCCCGACCAGCGCTGTCCAACAGACCCTCCAGCAATGATGGAGACGTTCTCCATCTGTACCATCCAACCCACGTATTACAAAGGAAAACTTGAAATGTGGCTACTGCAACTGAGGAAGTGAATTTTTATCTACTTAATTTTAATGAATATAAACGTGGCCAGTGGCTACATGAGACAGTGCGGGTCTAAATGACCCAGGGCCTGTGAAGGTCTGTGCTAAATGAACCTCGGGAATCACACACAGAATGATCTCAAGGACATACACCAGTCCATATCCCAGGTAGGAAAATTCTAAGGAATATTAATTTTTTAATTTGTATTAACCATATTTTCCATATTTCTACAATGGTATTCCTATATAATCTGAAAATAGACATTAGTATATATCTAAATATACACCATTTTTTATGCTCTCTTTATACTTTTTCCCAATTTGGGGATTATCAGAGTTTTTCCAAACTTTTCTGAAAAAACAAACAAGCCAACAAACCTTTGTATTTTGTCTATGTTCCCAAACCATGAACAGAAAGATGACCGGGACAGCTCTAGATCTAAGGGGAACCAGACCCGCAGAGACGCCTCACCGTACCTCCTTGTAAACGCCACCTTCACCGTCCGGTCCCCGGTCATCTGTGAAAGACACAAGCACGATCAGAACCCTCGTTGAGACCCTCAACATAGGCGCTGCAGCACCCAAAACACCAGAGAGTCCTTGACAGAAGGTCAGGCAGTCAGGATGATGTCGGCCTAGTTTCTTCTAAAAAGTAAACCTTTTTGTTTATAGTACAATATTAGCGTTCTGTAAACGTCATGGAAGAGGAGGGGCGTCCCCGCTGAAGCCAGATGTGAGTTCAGTCATGAACGGCATCACCAGCCCCAGGGATCCGTGTGCTGTGCTCAGAGTTAGCTCACAGCAAGATCAACCCACGGTGCCGACAGCAGGTCCTGGCGACAGAAAAACAAAGGAAGGCGTCTCCACCAAACCACCTCAAGGTCAGATGTCCTCAGAGTTCACTGCCTTTCTAATTATCCTACCAGCAGTGCCCGACAGTGCAGAACTCGTGTACTCAGGAAGCCCAAATGCCCAGGCACCTTCTAGACCCCCTCACCCTCAGGGGGGCACCCATCTTCTCATTCACTGATGGCCCAACACAAAACCTCGTCCTGCTGGGCTCTGGGAGCCTCTTCTACATCCCGCCCTGCTTCCAGCTTCCAAGCAAGCCTCGGTCCCAGCCCGCGCATCTTCTCACTTATGTTCTGGGCACATACTTTTTGTGTGCCTACTGTGTGCAAGGCACTGAATTAGATGCTTTCATGCGGTTGCAGCGACTCTGAGAAGCAATCAGGCACAGATAAGGCCGTTCATCAGGGAAGCTGCTGTGTGTGCGTGTGCACACGCATGCACACGCGTGTGCACACACACACACTGGGGAGGTAGGGGGGAATCTCTGCTCTCTCCTTGGAGCAGCCTCAGAGGGTGGATGTGAGCCTCGAGCAGACATTCGAATGAAGCCTTTTCACTGTATTATTCAAATATTTGACTCCATTCACTTGCACAATCCAAACAAAAACACTTTCTATCACTCTTGTTTTTTTCTAACTCCGAACCTCAGCACAAAGAGCAATTTGCCTTTCAACATAATTGCTCTGGTAGGCTCAGCCTGTGAAGAAGGCTTTTAGAGGCAAAAGTTCAAACAGACAAAAACCGTTCCTACAAATCCGCGTCTCCTCAGCAGAAGGAACGTTTAACAGCCTGCTGAGCCGGGCCTCTGCACAGCTGCAGCCTCTTCACGCCCCACGAGCCCCACACGTACGTGACCCCGGGGCTGGGAGGCTCACCTGCCGTGCCGTCTCCACCCTGCTTGCCAGCATTGGCCTCTCGTGGCTTTCCTGCGGCTCCTTTCTCGGCTCCTTGAAGCTCCCCTTCTGCATCCACACCCCGCACGGAGGTAGCAATCACGTGGGCCATCTCGCCGAGGCCCAGGGGGCTCAGACCCTCCACAGGCTGCTTTCCCAGGTCCTTCAGGAGACTCCGGATAAGTGCTTCTGGGGTGCACACACAAAGGCAAGCACAGAGGACACCAAGGAGGAGCAGTCAGCACTGGAACGAGGAGGTAAACGAGCGATCCCAAACAGGGGCACCGTGGGCACCCAGAAGCTCAGCAGAGAAATGGGATTTAATGAGGAGCAGCAGAAGTTCAGTAAATGAAGAGCACAACATTTGTAATTTAAAAACTTACTGGATGAGCCTGGCAGCAGATTGGGCAATGGAGAGCAATGGGTTAGTGAATTTCAAGATAGATAACAGAAACTATTATTATCTTAAGAACAGGTGAAAAGGGGGCCCCTGGGTGGCTTAGTCAGTTGGGTGTCTGCCTTCAGCTCAGGTCATGATCTCAGGGTCCTGGGATCGAGCCCCACATCGGGCTCCCTGCTCGGCGGGAAGCCTGCTTCTCCCTCTGCTCCTACCCCCACTTGTGCTTTCTCTCTCTCTCTCTCTCTCAAATAAATGAAATCTTTATAAAAAAATTTTTAAAAAGATTTGAGATGGACTGAGCAGAAACTCGGTAACCTGCAGAACCACCCCAGGCATAACAGACTCCAAGTGGAGAGCAAGAAGGAAAAGGAAGAGAGAATGGGACCAAAAAACTAAAGGGAAACAAAAAAACCTCCAGAAATTCCCCCAAATTGCATTAACTTCGAAAAGTCAAGGCACCAAACCCCAAGAAGAACAAACACAAAGAGAACCACGCAGTGCCATCTCTTAGGAAGGTGAAGGTAACGCAGACCCCTAACCGCAGCCAGAGGCTAAGACACGCGTGAGGCGTGACGGACACAGGCAGTGGGCTGACCTCAAGCAGAAGAGGGCACGGGACTCACCGCGTGTCTTCTGAGAATGAGGTCTTTGACAGAATTTGTAATTATCGATTTGATAACACACATATGAATGACATATGTGAAGTGTTAAAAGAAAAAACATTTAATTTGGAAGTCTACGTCCAGTGAAAACATCCTTCTAGCCTGAAGGTGAGGGAAAGACATGTCCGTATTATAAAGGGGGCTAAGCTCATCGGCAGCCAGCGGACCCGCGTAAGACACGCCGGGAGGGTGACACCGGCTGGAAACACAGGCTGTAGGAAGTGCTGAAAAGCTCCCAGAGGGTGACTGTGTGGGTGCACCCGGACAACGGTCTCTCTCCTCCTCTTAGTGCCGCTAAAGGGCAGCTGACCGTTCGAAGGGAAGAAGTCACCGCGTTTAATGCATGTCGAGGTAAACGGCCGGCACAGGAGGGTCACCAGCATGGGCTGGAGGGTTTATCTGCATTTTACGTGAGGTGTGTGCAGATCACTCCAAGTAGACTTAGTGCTGGGACCCGGCCTGGGGTGACGGGGATGTCCAATGGCGTGTCAGTTACGTGTACACACACGTCCACACTCACTTGTATACTTGGCGTCCATGCATCTCATGACAAATAGATCTCTCTCAGCAACAGGAATGTTTGATGGAGTCTTGTTGCTGACGTGGAGGGTGCCCCGACTTCTTTTTCCTGGGTATCGAAGGTGTCTGGTTCCTAAGTGGAGGTTTATGCAAGGTGGGTATCCTCGTGACTGCTCCCTGAGACCTGGACCAGTGAGAGTTCACACTCTGCCCACGGCCTCACTCAGGCAAGCCTTGAGCTGAGTGGGGGAGGGGGATTATTTTCTGCTTCTTGCAAATTAAGAAATTTGGGCTTTTCACATTTTTTAACATCTCCATCTTTGGGAGCTCTTGCTCACCAACAGGCACGAGAAGCTCTCAACACTCACGATTCAGCAGGCCCTACGCAGGTGCACAGAGAGAGCGGGTCAAGCCGCTCCGTGCTGTCAGCCAGGACCCAGCAGGGGAAGGCCCAGACTCCCCGAAACAGCTTCACCAAACTTACCACTCGTCTGAGGTAGTAATGTCTGTGCCATGTGGCTGCGGCTGGAAAGCTACGTGCGGAAGCCCCCGGTACACTGTGCACAGCGCACCCACCACCGGGCTCCACCTCTGAGTCATGCTGACGGAGCAGGACAGCCTCGCCTGGTCAAAGCGAGCTTTGTTCATAATAAAAGCCTGACGGGAGAGTTCGGAGCGATCCAGACTTACTGACTTTTCAAAGAGAAGCAGGTCGAGCCTCCTGTGAATTCCTCGAGTGGAAGAAAACGTACAGTCACGCTCACCTGTCCACCAAAGCTCGCTCTTTCAGGGGAGTCTTGCTCCACTGTCCTAAGGAAACTCATTTCTGAACATTGTGTGCCACGCCCCATGCTCTCCCACAGTCTCCTCCTTGCCAGGGAAGAGTCGCTGCCGTAATTCTTTTTTTTTTTTTTTAAAGATTTTATTTATTTGACAGAGAGAGAGATAGCGAGAGCAGGAACACAAGCAGGGGGAGCGTGAGAGGGGAAGCAGGCTTCCAGCTGACCAGGGAGCGCAATGCGGGGCTCGATCCCAGGACCCCGGGATCATGACCTGAGCCGAAGGCAGACGCTTAACGACTGAGCCACCCAGGCGCCCTCGCTGCCGTAATTCTGATTTTGCTGCGTGAAGACACTTTCTGTCAATCTTTACTCAAGACTTCCTGTTGACGACCGAGGTCCCTTGTGGATCGACAACCCTTGGAGTCTCCATGGTACTTGTTCTGGAAACACAGCTGGAGGTGGAATTGGCACGATCGTCAGATGGGGTCCTTGAAAGTGGGGGGGACACTGAGCGTGTGGCATACGCCATCGACCCTCGTGGTCAGGACCGGACCTTACGGTCCTGCGGCAGCAGCAAAGCCCCGGTGAGGCCGACACTGAAGCCTGACAGCACCAACACAGGGCGGTGACGTCCCTGCACCACCCGGCCTCGGCTTCTCTATCAACCAGCTGTTCCTCATGCTCCGACGTGTGGCCTCACTGACCCTGGGGACACTGAGCTTCCCAGGAGTACCCACATCCTAGACACAGCAAACGCTGCTTTTCACATGCCAGCCAACCAATCCAGAGCCCACCACTTGTCACAGCTTCTACCGGGCCCCCACACGGCAGGCCACCATCCGCCGGCCCTAATCGTCCCAGGGCCTTGCCCCAGAGCCGCTGGAATTATGCCCGCTCACTAGCCCCTCGCCCGCTGGGCCCGCCTCACCTGCTCCTTCCTGAAGGGTCCCCTCTGTCCGCCTCACCACCAACCCGGTGCTTCCCTGTCTGGCCCTGGGCGTGGTCTCCTCCCGGGAACTATCTTCAGCAGTCTGGCCAAACCGGACTAAGAACAAAGCCTGCATCTGAAACCACTTGCTGCCACAGGGAATGCAGACCAAAGCCTGTTCTGTGGCTGTCTCCCCTCTGTCCCCAGAGCCTCTCACAGTCCCAAATGTTCAGTGACTGAATGCTTGACTTCAGGAACAACTTCCAGCACTAATTTCACTTCCTTATAAACAAAACATACCTAAAAATACAGAAAAGCTTGCCCGATGCAGAAGTGACAGGAAGCTGAAGACTTGAGCAATCCCACACAAACAGCAGCTGATGCTGGGCTGACAGAAGGTACGGGCTGTTTCACGGGAAAGATAAAGATGCGCTCTGGGATTGCAGATGCACACCTGTCGCAGCGACTGGGCTGTTCTGAAGAAATGTACTGTTCACTGCAGCTTTCAGAGGCAGAAGGAACTGTCCCGAACCTGTAACTGAGTCAGCGAGCAGCAAGCTGAGTACAGCTTTTCGTTTTGATTCCCACCAAACACCCTTCTCTTCTGATGCTTATCTTAGCAAGGTCTTGTGTCACCAGCCACTCCCATGGACCCCACGCTGACCACAAAGCTCTCATTCCTCTCAGGAAACAGATGGCACTGGGGGCTTCCGATTCGGAGTGCCCGCTGCACCCCGGGAAAGAAGGTGTACAGGAAACGCCCCAGAGGCATGCCAAGCCTTCCTCCTCTTGACAGGGCAGGGCCCCCTGCCCTCACACCAATACCGACGCGGAGCATCTGCTCTGAAAAGGCCCTTTCAGAAAAAGTCCACAGTGACCCGCGCTTGCCAAGTCCACTCCAGCAAGTCTTCCCTTTCATCACAGTGACAAAGAGAAACAATCCCAACAGAAATCGCGTCACAAAACAGCCCCCCCACTCACCACATGCAGACCTGACCATCCATGCGACACAAGGACAGAGGGACACAAGGAACAAGGTGTTGCGGGACCGGTGGGACAGCGGCTGGCCCAAAGGGAGGAAACAGTGAGCAGAGACCTCACCCAATGAGGCAGACAGGAGGACGGTGCCAGGCCGTGTCTGCTCTCTGTGCAGACCCGTTAGCGTAGGCATTGCCTGGCATCAGCCATGAACCCCACTGCTGTGGGCAGTGGCTTCTTGTCCACTTTCTCAAGCCAGATGATGCTAGAATCTACAGGGGCTTTCTCCTTTATTGGCTATCGTTGTGGCTGAGACTTTGGTTTCTAAGGACACATTTAAGATTCTCATCAGTTGCTGTGTCAGTCGAGCTGGCAAGCTGAATTCGCATGAAGAAAAGTTGACTTCTTTCCAGCGGGGCATGCCCTGCTGCCACTTAGGAGAAAGAGCACCACGTTGCATCCCAAACATTGCTTCAGGAAGCCGAGGGTTGAAGGGGCTGCAAGCACACACCTGGGGCCCACACAGTTATGGATTCATCTCCCCACTAATACTGCCGGTGTGTGGTCTTGGGCAAGCCCCTTAATCTCACTGGTGCTCAATTCCCTTATGTGTCATGGGGACAAGTGAGACAGGCATGTGAATCACTTATCCAGTGGCAGGCATACCGTAAGTGCTTAACAACTGTGACTATTATCATGATGATGAGGTGATGGTCAGCAATCATTTACCCTCCATCGTTTTTCATCCCTTACAGTCCACCGTAAATACACAGGCTTGGATTTCCATGGTGAGTTCTGGCTATAGTTCAGCGTAATCCGTAAGCAAAGAGCAGAGAACATGCCACCTGTCCGTCAGGATGCTTAGTTGTGCCAGGTGACTACTGCCTCCCAGTTTGTTCAACATTCAATTTAAGATTATG